TAAGTTACTTGCACTGCAGAATATTTGTGTAAGTGCTTCAAGGAAGATGCTGTGTTTTCTGGTTATTCTTATGCCACCTATTTGGATCGTGAGTTTCCAGTGTTAGTCTGTTATTGGCAGACCAAGTGCACAGAGCAGCAAAACTGTCTCACAGATTTGGATAGAACAACTCACTGTACAGCTTCTTGTCTGCTCTATTTTAAAAAATAATTTAAAAAAAAATCAGCAAAACATGCTAATTATTTTGACGCTTCTCCTATGAAGAAAGGTTGAGGAATCTGGACTTGTTTAGCTTGGAGAAGAGGAGGCCTGGGGAGAGACCTTGTAGTCTTCCAATATTTGAAAGGAGCATATAAACAGGAGGGGTTACTTCTATTTACAAGCTTGGATAGTGACAGGCCAAGGGGGAATGGTTTTAAACTGAGGCAGGGGAGGTTTAGGTTAGATATTAGGGGGAATTTTGTCACTCAGCGGGTGGTGATGCGCTGGAACAAGTTGCCCAAGGAGGTTGTGGATGCCCCATCCCTGGGGATGTTCAAGGCCAGATTGGATGGGGCCCTGGGCAACCTGGTCTAGTATTAAATGGAGAGGTTGGTGGCCTCCCATGGGGGTTGGAGATTCATGATCCTTGAGGTCCCTTCCAACCTGGGCCATTCTGTGATTCTATGTGAAATTGTTTTTTTTACTGCTGCTCTTAGTTCAAGTTGTGTTTTGATGGAAGCCTCTCGTTTTGGGAGGAAAATGGTTTACCAGGGCTTTCTTGGAACAGTGAAGTATTGAAGGTATCTTAGTGCCTTTCAACTGCTTGTATAAATGGAGTAAGAAGGCTTGTTAAAATTAACTTTCCAGGTGTTATCCTTTTGTCCACCTCCCTTACTTCCTCAAGTTACTGGTTCTCCAGTTTGTCTTGTAGATTGCGGTCTGCTGTAGTGTGAAAGAGTGCCATAATCTTGTTTCCTAATGCCTAAAATAGCACACATTAGAGAGATGTAAGCTGGAGAATTTGATTATCCGAACTAGAACATAAGTGCATACTTGCTCTGTTTTGCAGCTGTCCTAACTCCAAAGGCAGAATCCACAAACTACAGTGGAAGAAAACAGCAGCCTATTTATCTATTTACACTTGCTCCATGTTATGTAAGCTGCATATTGAATCATCTGATAGTTCATTTTAAGTTAGTATCTCATTTAAGAAGGACTTGAACTGTTTTGTGTGATAGATCTGTCTTGTTTAACGTATCTTGCAAAGTCTTCTGGCAGGGAGACATAAGGAATAATCTTACTCCTGAAGGAAGGTTCAGAAACAACCTGTACAGAATGAACAAGTTGGAGAAAGATTTCTTAACTGCTATTCACAGCGTATTTAATACTTTAGTTTATATATAAACACTATCAAGGTTTAATGCTTACTACCTTCTTTGATATAGCAATAGCTGATAGAGAAAGGTCTCTTACGCATCTGCCTTCAGCTGAGGAAAAAAAAAAGCCATTTTGATTTGAAAAGAGAAAATTTTAGATTAATCATGAATATGCATTCTTTTATGTTAAACAGATCTTTAGTGATGACACTTGTGGGTGTAATGCTGCTGTTCTCGAGCAAGTTTATTCTTTAAGGACCGAGGTTTGCAGATGGTATACTGTGCAAGACCACCTACTGATCTGGGGTTGCTGCAGTATGTGAGCAGAACTGAAGTGATTGAAGGACCAGATTTAGTTTTGTTTTTATACATGTGCTCTTAAAGTGCCAAGTCATTGATTCTTTAGTTCTGCTTGCACATCAGCTATTGAAATACCTGAGAGAAGAAGCACGGTGCATGAAGTAAAATTTCTTAAATGCTTCCAGGCATTATTGTAACACTCCATGGGGGCTATCTGGAATTAGTGCTACCTGCAAATAATACATGCTTTCTGATGAAACTCTTATCTTTTAACACTGTAAAAAACGTGAAATTTATTTACGTTTCCTTGTGTGTGTATTTGCCTACAAAGAGTGCCAGGCTTTGTTTCTTTCTTATAATAAAAACAGCCACATTTAGCAGGAGAAAACCAGAGCTCTGATAAACTCAGTGGTTTAAAACTGAACCTTGGGTAACTGGCTCTGATGTCTTCTCTTCCACTTTACAGGTGACTTAAAGGAAGATGTTTTCTATGTCAATATTCGAGGGGATTTAAGTTGTGGCACACTTCTGAGTGATACATGCAATTGCTTGGTCCATATGTATGCCTTAGTTTCCCGAAGATCAGATCATGAAGCATAGTCACAGCAAATGGTTTATAGATGGGCAGCCATCTGTTCTGTCATATTTAATTTTGTCTCTCTGTGCTTTATTTCTAAGATTCTGGCTTTTCTGTTTAGGGAAAAAAATAATTTCATATTAGGAAATTATTTAACTGTTTCTTTTATTGTAGTCCGAGGCCAACAAAGTTTACGGAACGCCCTCGGCCCGGAGTCCAAATGATCTGCTCTTCTTTTAGCGCTGGTAAAAGACTGATTTGTTTAATCTTTGTCTCAGTTTAGGAAACTATTTGGAGAATAAAGTAAAGTCCAATGCAGTTAATGTAGCGTATTTCTGAAATTGAGTTAAAACTGTTACTGAGAGAAATGTTAAATATTAATAATGATCTGAATCTGGTGATATGGAAGTTCTGGACAACAGTTGAGCATAACAGGTTGAAAGGAAGTTTCTTGCCCACAGTTCTTTAAAAAGTGGTAAAATCTTTTTCCTCAGAGCAATTCTGAAAGTCAACTTTACCTAAAATGGAATTTATAGGGGTTTTATTAAGAAAACATTGATTAACAGGTTCTTATGCTCTGAACTTCATTGATTCCCAGAGCTGGCAGATGATGAAGAATGCAGTGTAAACAATGAGATAAGATAGTAAAATGGCAGAGAAGTATTTTCAGAATTACTGGAGTTATTTTTCCATTCTATTTACTCTAAGACTGAGGCCAGTGAGAGCCAAGTCACAAACAAATCACTGTAGTTAGCTAATCTTTTGAATATGTCTCCAGATGCCTATTTATGTGACAACAAATGTGAGGTAATTAAACACAAGTTTAACTTTTGAGTTTCTAACCTTTTTTGGTTTTACTGAAGGGTCAGCTATAGACAAAACTGAAATGAGATACAGCTGTACATTTAAGAGAATAAATATAAAAATTTAATCTTAGGCACATCTGAAGATTCTGCAATATCATTAGCTTGCCCATTTTTGTTATTATTACTTACCTGTGTTTTCTTTTCTCAGGTGGAATGTTTCTGGCTACGGGGAGTACAGATCACATCATTAGGGTTTATTTCTTTGGATCAGGTCAGCCAGAGAAGATATCAGAGTTGGAGTTTCATACTGTAAATACTTTATTAAAATTACATATGTTATTTGATTTAAATAATGGTTTTGTTTAGTTTGGAATCACTTTTGATAATTTTTTTTTTTTGTATAGGACAAAGTTGACAGCATTCAGTTTTCTAATAGTAGTAGCAGGTAAGCAAAACATTTATTTATTCACAGCTAGTCTTTTGACTTGGAAATTTGTAAATATCAGCTTCTCAATGTAGTTAGAAAAAAACTAATATGAACCTCAACACAGAAAACGTCTATAATTTGTTTTAAATAGTATCTGTCAGCTTTACACCAGTCTTCATTGCATTGAATTGTGCGAATTAAGGAATGTAGAAATACATTTATTTTTTTTTTAATTAATATATGTATATATTCTCAGTTAAGTGATTGTTGGATAACAGGAAAACTATTGAATAAAATCAGGCAAGTCTTTGTTTAGCTACCCTTTATAAATGCTTCACTGAAGTTCTGGATTTTGGATGTGAAGAATGCTAAAGAACATACCTCAATTTATTGTGAAATTTCTGATATTTCATTCAAATGATGCTGTAACATAAACTTTCATTGGAAAGCAAGCTGCGTTGTGTTCCTCTGTCCATCTCTTTCTTCCTTGTGACCCCCGAAAAAGGTGCAGAAAAGTGGGGAAGAAGCTCCAGCTTGTTTGCAGCTGTTCAGAGACAGTTGTTCAAATAAGTCTTGTGATAGATTTTGCTTGTTTTAAATTGAGACTCAGCTCTCAGTTCTCCTTGCACTTCAGTTTTCTCACCTCTTAAATTACTTTGTAGCTTTACAGGCAGTGATAGGTGAATTACAGTGTTACAGTGCTCACTGGACTCTAATGTCCCACTGGCAGAGCAGTGTGGTAGCTCTGCAAGGTGCACTATGGATCCAAGTGCTGTTAGTCTGTAAGGGGCTTGTATTAGGGAAGCAAATTCCACTTTTTACAGGCCTTTAAATTTTTTCTGGTCCATAAAGTGTGTTTTCACCTCAATCTGGTAGTACAGCATTCTTACAATATTTGGACTCCTTATACTTCAACTTCCTTTTTTGAGTTCTGAGTTCTCTAGCTTCCGCTTCTTTTTGTGCAATGGTCTTCATTATCTAATTTACTTTTTTCCCATTTTCTTAGATTTGTGAGTGGAAGCCGTGACGGAACGGCACGAATCTGGCAATTTAAGCGAAGAGAATGGAAAAGCATTTTGTTAGATATGGCTACTCGTCCATCAGGGTAAGTAATATCAAATATTCTGTTACCCCATAGATACTTGAAATCCGTTGATTTTTGTTTGTTGACATATTGAAAAAAAAAAAGCCACCTTTAATGATTAAGGATTAAATGTGCAGCATGCTTGTCTAGCTCTTGAAGCCCAATGAAAACAAATATTTAACTACATGTTTAACAGTGGAAATTAGTTTGTTCTGATAATACCTCCATTAGCACATTGCTTAGATTAAGAGAGTAGAAGATACACAAGACATGTTGAAGGCTAAACTCATGCTTTTAACAGAGGCTTCTAGACCAAGAAAACCAAGTTAGATCTCTTACTGAGATTTCTTGCATTTTAGTGATATTTAAAAGTTACTGTGGAATCTGCATGCCCAGAAAAGGAATTTTGAGTTCTTTCATACCATGTGCCAGAGCAAATAAGTTACCTGCCATGTAATGGGTTCTCACTTGGCTGGAATAATCTGAGAATTCACAAAGCTTTGTAGGTATGGAAAACTTCTGTACAGTAGACTAAGTGATTAAAAAGACTTGAAGATGGAGACTTTGTAGAAGATAATTATTTTTGCATGAAGGAAACGTTTTCCAACATTAGATTATTAGAAAGGTTAGCAGTGATTTCATGGGTAAACCTTTTTCGTAAACTGATCAAATTGAGTGGTTTAAAGGAGTTTATTTAATAAAAACATGTATATATTCAAAAGTAATTCTGTGAAAAGACACCTGAAAGAGGGGTGGAAGAGATGGCTAATGAGCTCTTATAATTTACTTACAAGTTTGGATCAGAAGGTGTCTTAGGGGCAGGCACAATAAACACGAGTATAAAACTTTTGGATGAAAGTCTGTTGTACATTACCACTCCAAAAATGAAATTTGAGTTATTTTTCCTTCAAAATGTAGCTCATAAAAATTATTGGTTTTAACTCATCCTGGAAAAAAATAGCAATGGGTTCTTTTTTCATTATGGTCAAAATGCAAAACTTTGTAGAGAAACTGGACTGCTTGTTTCAGCCATGTAGTTGAATTCTCATTTGTCCCTTTTGATTAGGAGAGTAAAGTGCAATTCTGCACTTTGTGATGTGATCTTTTTTTGCATAAGCACAATTTTCTCAGAGATAATGAAATTAGTGCACTGAAAGGAAAGAAAGAATTCAGCCTATAAAAAGACTCCTGTGTTCTGCATTGTATCTAGAAAGGAATTTAGCTATAGTGGCATGTCGTACTTTTGAACTGTTCAGTGTATATAATTAGATCATGTGTTGTATTTCAATGTAGGGTGCTCTGAAAGTAATGCCTCCTATTTATTTCCATGAAAACTACAGCTGATGCAAAGAGTGCAATAACACTGTTTGATAGAGCAAATTTTTGGCTACAAAGCACTCATTTCAACATACTCACTGCTAGTAGCTGTGCATTTTTACCAGTGATGAATAAGAGCCTGCATGCTGTGCTTTTAAAAATCTGCACCAATGCTGGTGACCCGTTGTTGCCACTGCTGAAACACACCACCCACTGCTGCCTCACTGTGCTCACATCCACTGTTTGGTTTCCGTCAGTGTTTGACAAAAGTCAGTGAATGCCAGTGGGTACAATTGTTTTCTGCATTGAGGAAGTCAGTCGCACACTTTTCTTCATCTGCACTTCTGTGTCAGGTGCCTTGTTGTCAGACTGCCCATCAGCTGCCATCTATCACATTTGTCACAGAGCAACAAAACGGAACAGAATGTTGGCAGGAAGGTTCAACCTCTTCTGCAGTACCACTGACATCTGCCAAATTAATAAAATAGGAGGCATTACTTTCAGAGCATCCCTTGCAAATGGAAGATTCTATATTTTTGTTGGGATTATGTTTCAGGTGGCTAGTGTTCCATTCTTATAAGGATAAAAATAAAATGCATGCAAGATTAAGTGCACCTCGCTGATAGTAAAGTGTGGTGATGTTGTACTCTACATTTCCTGAGAATTTTAACTCATTTAAAAGTATGAGAATACTTCTTTCTGTGTTTATAAATACTTAACACTGATATTCTCCAGGCTAAATTACTGTTCACTAATTGACTAGTTTGGATTCTTGTTCTTCAGCTAACTCAGCAACTGCTATGGAATTAAACTGTAGCTTGGTATATATAACGTAGTTTTTAAAATATTGAGAGGACTCTGTAGTCTTTGTTTAAGAACTGATAGCTCTTTTCTGATTGTGTGTTGAAAAATGGGTAGCATCTCTCATACTGCCATGTTCTTGAAGAACCGATATTCTCAATAATAAAGTAGTACACAGGTGTATTATCATTTGTTATGGACATAATGTTTTTTAGCAGACTGGAATTGCTTTGAAGCTCTTCTTGTTCTCTTGTTTTAGACAAACTCTACAAGGTGTAGAAGATAAAATTACAAAGCTGAAAGTGACCATGGTGGCGTGGGACCGCCATGACAATTCTGTTATAACTGCTGTCAATAACATGACACTGAAAGTTTGGAATTCTTTCACTGGCCAACTCATTCATATTCTCATGGTAAGGTTGCTCTACCATGATTTGGTAATCTGAAATGCAGACTTCGTGTGTATGTCATCAAAGTTCTTCTTCACTCATTTTTCTCCTCAGCTTTAGCAAATGTATTTACATGATTCAAGAGTAATTAAGGTATCTCAGCTGCTTTTTAGAAAATAAAGCTTAAAAGTTGCAAATTGCCATTATTGTTGAGATGTCTGGAACTAATTTTTTACTTTTTCCTTAAAATACCATCTTGGAAGGAGAGAAGTTGTTTCTTTTGGCCTTTGTTTAGTTTGGCAGATATTTGAAATACAGTTAATAGAATTATCCTGATTAAACACAGACACTTGTTATTGTAATCTCAGCATTCCATGAATACAAAAAAGCAGTCTTCTAGAGAGAATAAATTTTTTTGCTAATGGCTTTTACTTATTTTAGTTGAGAAAATAGGCAACTGTATATACCTGGAGATGAGAATATTTTCAGCGAAGTTGATATTAACTCTGGAGATGTAATTATCTAACTGTAGTATTACAGTTGATTCTTGAATGATTCTAAATTAAATTTCTAATTAAACCATACCTAAACAAATAGAAGTCTACGAAGCATTAAAATAAAAAATATCAAATTTGAATTCTGGTCTTCTAAAATTGTGATGAAAGTTGTGGGACAAATTTGTTTTGAAGCTGTCATACTTGACATACTTATTAAAAATCTAAAATTGCAACTGCATAGAGAATAATATGTAGATAAAAAAAAAAAAAAAAAAAAACAAACAACAGAATGTAGTCAAATTAATTACTACATGCTGAGCACTCATAGATGAACAGTGTAGTTGTTTGCATTACCATGTTGAGTGGTATTTGAGATAATCCACTTGTTCATCTTGCTATGTCTTTAATTTCAGGGCCATGAAGATGAAGTGTTTGTACTTGAACCTCATCCATTTGATCCAAGAGTTCTCTTCTCTGCTGGACATGACGGGAATGTCATAGTTTGGGATTTGGCAAGAGGGGTCAAAATCCGGTCTTACTTCAACATGGTAATTACTATGCTTCATGCAGATATGCCAATGCAGCCTTCCTAAACTTTTTGCTTTTAACACATTTTTATGTAGGCCATCTTGAAGCATGCATTTGTAATATATAGGCGAAGGTCCTGCATCCAGAAAAGAGAAATTTCTGATCAGTTTAGTGGGACAAATACTGCATTTGTAAAGTGTGAGAAGTCTTCTGGCTGTATTCCATAGTGTCATCTTTCTACGTGCTTCATCCACGTGAAATTGGAATGCTAGTTTATGTTGTCAGAGATCATGCATAAGAGACAGGGTGACAGAGGCTCTCCTGTAGTACTCTATCTCCTGCCTGGGAAACCAAGATAAAACCACGTTTATTTTTTTGTGTTACTAGTTCTTAATCTGGCTAAAACTCTTCAGGAGTCACCTGATCTCATACAATGTTGTATGCTGTCTCAGCTCTGATTGAATACAATCAGCCTTTCTGTGTAGAGCTCCTCCACATGCAGGTTTCAATTATGATCTGTTCTGCATTATACTAGTTCTTCTGGAAGATGGATGTAACAGGTATTTCTTTCTGCTTCTTGATATGAAGTAGGTCTTTGTGTCCTATTCTTCAAAAAGGTATAGTGTTATGCAATTCAGACCTTGCCTACTAGTTGAGAAAATTTGTAGAATTGTCTTTGTAGAATGTTGTAGAATAAGCTTCATCCAGCTTTCAGCTGTAGTGGAATGACAGTTTTAGAAACCAGAATAAGGATCATCTGAAGAAGAGATCTGGCATGGATACATTGGTTTAAAAAAAAAAAAAGAAAAAAACCAAACCAACCAACCAAAAAAACCAAACAAATATCAGACATTTAGAAATGGACTCTGAACCCAGATGAAGTTTTGACATGTTCAGTGTTTAGAACAGTTCATAGAGAAAAGGTTCTACTGAAATCTGTGGGAGAACCTAGACTCCTACAGCAATAACTTATGTATTGTTCTTTTTACATTGACTTCTGTAACTGAATTTAAGAGGGAACCCAGTCAATTGGAGCTGTGAGTACATACCTTTGTTCCTCACTGCTGTTCGCTCTTACCAGTTGAGTTGCATGTCCTCACTGCATTGTTAGGATACCTTTCCACTACTACTTATAGCAGATGGATGATGGTTCTCATGGAGTTTTAAGTTTAGAGCAGGCTGAGTTCATTTGTTGCATGTAAGACGAGTCCATTCAGGAGCTGTCAGAATCTAAATTATAGATGCCTGGGACTTTGGGCAACCCTCTGAAAAAACTGAAATGTATGAATCAAGGGTGAAAAGAGTCACAAACACCAAAAAAGATTGAAAACCTTGTTTGAAAATCTTCAGAGTTGTAAAGAAATGTATAGATAATCAGAAGCTCTCAGCAGCTGATAATACATGCTTTGTGTTGGAAATAAAATGTGGTAATGTCTGCCTGTTGAGTGAGGTGAGGGTAATTGTAAATCTGGCAATCAGTTTCACTCAAAGATGTGTGAGGCAGGTATCCTCTACAGTGAGAGGTGTCTCTACAGTGTCTATATATTTCACCTGTGTTCTCTATTTGATACTTCAAAAGACAAGAGTGGTAATTGGAATGTTTTTTTAGATTACAGGGGAAAGGTACTCCTAGAGTGTGAAACTGGATTACTGTTACAGAGCTGCAACTGTTAAATATTTTGGTTTACTAAGGTACTGCACAAATGAGCAGAGCTGCCAGTCTTTTCCCAGTTTCCTAACCAATGTATCAACTGGGAACATCTTATATTAGCCACTATTAAATTATTCTGATGACTGCTGAAACATTCGTGGGCTGGTTCAGTTTGTCATCTCATACTTCTGGAAAACAGAAGGGGATGGGAAAGCTTTTACAGAGTGGGTTATCTTGAATCAGATGGGGAATATAATTTGAAAGAACCGGACCTGAAAGTTGAATGACATGAGGAATCTACTTTGCCATTCAAGAACCTCACATCATGGCCTTGCAAAACTGTCTCTAGTAATATAACTAATACTGACTGTCTTTTTCATGGCAAAAGTTCTGTAAAAATTGCAGACCTTGGGGACATTGACTGAATTAGAAAAATCTTAGGTGATTATTAATGATAATTAGTCCAGTCATGTATTCCCTACCTACCTGGAATGCTTGTTTTATCTAAAACATCTTAAATCCTTAAAGTGGAACTGGGTATTTTTTAAGCTCTCCCCAGTCTGAATTCTTTCATTCTCAGCATCAAAAATCAAAGCTTGAGTCAGTTTGAGACTTAATTCCTTTTATCCAGTTAGTGAATGTGAAATTGCAAATCCCTAGCAGCTAGATAATTTTTTTTTTTGTTCTGTGTTGAACTTATATCAAGGCTCAAATACTTTGATTCCTCAATTTGTTGCAGATGGATGTCACTTAGAGACTGAGTGTCATGCAGAACATTCTCTTTGAGTTTGTTTTTTTTATGAACTTTGAATTGCTATAAAATTAGTTAGCACAATCACAACTGAATTTGAAACACCCTTGGTTTCTGCCATATTGTAGTCTTTTTAAATTAATAATAGAATGTGATCCCATAAGTGACTATCTACACATATGGGCTTACTCTCAGTAAGTATGTATATAATTTATATATACCATGTTTTCATGTGTACTCTCCACTGTGGTGATAGATTTCTGTACAGGTCTTAATTGCACAGCTTGATGTTTTAGTTCATGATCATACACTACTGGCTTAGCTTAAAGTCTTTGGTCAGCTAGACTCAAGAAATTTATTCCCTACCCCAAATAGTGAAATTTGCCATAGGAATATCAAAACTGAGATGTCTAAAGCTCTCTTAAACAATTTTGAGATTCAGCAAATAAATATTGGTGTGCATTTGCACATGCAAATACAACCATTTATTGTTGTTTGTAGCCTGTGTAATACATTCGCCATTCTTGATTTAATACTAGCTGCTATTGTAAAATGTGTTGTGTATTTTTGTCATTCCTTTTTTCTAGGAATCAACTGAGTTTGTGGTTTTGGTGATAGAATATTAGGGTAATTTCACAGGTTGTAACATGCTTGTATAGATGAGCATTTAGAAGAGTTGCAAAGAAACCCAGGGTAATAAACATTAGGTGGTTGCTACTGCTTAGTTTTAGAGCTTGTATGTTTCAGGAAAACAGTGTTTTTGCTACAGAAGGACAGCACAAACCCAGAAAATATTGAAACTGTGGCTCGTTACCAGGTTCACTGGATGACTTGACAGTCTTGGCACCTGAGCTCTTGGAAAGTATGGTTGTTAATCTCCGAAGTGGAATGCAGTCATCCAGCAGCACATCTTCAGTATACTAAACAGTATGTTAGATTTCACTGTCTTAGTGGACATGGGGGAAAAAAATGCTGAATGGCAAGCTGTCTTGTAAGAGCTAGTTGGTGATGGAGGACATAGAAATGCATTTGAATTGCCACTTCTTATTCTAGTCTGCAGTGTGGCATTTGAGTGCCTTGTGTGGTAAGGCAGTTGTCAAAAGCAGGAATTAAGACATGGCTAGGAGTTGTATTCAGCTCTTTGTTACTGCCTATTAGTTAAGTGTTCAGCTGGGAAACAGAAGGCTTAATTTCTGTTTTCTTCTTGGATGGCAAGGTGTTCAATTCAACACCTATTACTTACCCAGGAGGTTGTCTCATCTGTGAATTTCTAGACTGGACTTTTTCCCCAACTTACTCTTGAAGTTGTGCTGCTACAGAGAGGTGTGAATCTTGAATCTGAGGTGTATTGGTTTGGGTATGTCTGCTCTAGGTAAATTGAAGCCTTTGGCTCCAAGCTTTGTAAAAGCTTGAATTTGCAAGATCATTTCTCTGTTAGCCCATTTACAAAATAATAATAAAATGTGTTCACCACTCAGTTGTCATAGTGCCCATTTTCTTTCAGATGTTGTCACTGAGTTAGTTTTTATTAGACTTAACAGTTTTGGTTTATTAGTATTTGGTTCCAGTATTATCACTTGAATGGTGTATGCTGCAACTTGGCCTAATACTTCAAATTCCCATAGGCCTTAACAAAAGTTTCTCAGAATGGTTTAACCATCTAAGTTTGATGGTGAGAGAAAACTACAGGAACTTGAGAGTCTTCCAGATCAAAAAGGAGGTACTTAGTAACAATGGGAAGAGGCAAAAGTCTTGGTTGGTTTGGATTGTTCTTTGTTGGTATTGTAATCACACACACAATGTTTGAGTTTGACTCCAAATATCTTTGTGGTATTGGAGTCCTGCCCTTGATTTTTTTTTTCTTTGATTTATGTGACTTCCCTTCTGCAATACCTGACAGGGCTGAGGTCTGCTGGCTCAGACTGCTTGCAGCAGGCGTTCCTTCTGTCTGGAGCTTTAATGAGTAGGTTTCTCCTGCAGTAAGGCAAATACTACTTGTGCCACGAATGGCCTGCCCAGGAGGAGTATGTTTAAAGAAAAAAAAATCTTTCCTAAACAATTTCAGGATATGTACTGAAAGGCTTTGTTGTGTGGGGTTATTTTTTGTTTTTGTTTTTGGTTAATAATTCAGTTTGCAGCATAGCCTAACAGTTGCAGGAACATATGGTGGCTGCTATTACTTGCAAGTATGCAGCTGAGAATATGATAACTGTAATACAGTAGCAAGAATGAAGGACTAGGGATGGGTGGGAATTTTCACAATCTTTGTTAATTGTAGAACTTTTTTTTATTTTTGCACTGTTATCTTCAAATACAATTGCTTGAATCAGATACTTGATTAAATATTGTGAGTAGGCATTACAATTGCCTACTTTTTATAAGCTTTTTATATTGGTTAACGGAGTCTTTCTGACTACCTTTATGTTTAAAATAAGAAAAACAGCTTTGTGTAAAATAGAAACTGATAAGCAGGCAAGCTGGAGTACGAATACCTATATTTAAAAAACAAAAAGGTTCTCCTGATGTATTAAAAAACAAAAACTACAACAACAAAAAAAATAAAAAAAAAAAACACCAAGCAAGACCAACCAACTAAAATATCTTACATGATGAGATAT